ATGAAACACAATATAAAATAATATATATAGCCTTATATGCCGGTATGTTTTCGGGACCATGCTAAACATCAGTTTGTAAACCTTCGTAGCTGACCTTGTTCCACGTGATGGCTATATGAAGATGGATTTCTTATAATTTAAATCGCGACTAATTAATATAAATTGAATTAACTGCAATAATTCATTTAATATGAAGATTCCCAGATAACATGCATGTTGCATAAGATATCTTTACGACGTCTTATGCAACATGCATGTTATCTGGGTTATAGTCAATACATGTCAAATTATTATAATTATTCACGAGTGAAAACAATATCATAATATTAAATGTGCAACCAGAAAGCTCAGATCTTTTTTTCAGTTACGAAAATAAAATCTACAGAGCATAAAGCTTATATATAGGTAAAAAATGGAGATTATATTTTTGTAGGAAAATGTTTAATATATATATATATATATATATATATGGACGAAACTACATAAAAGCGATACGTAGAATATTAACATAATACTTACAATGACATGATTCTTTTATACATTAAATTGTATGTAACATTGGTATTATTTGCAATGTCAATACTCTCTTAAAGGTATTATGTCATTATTCATATCGCGTAAACTTAATTATGCCTTTCTTAATTCAGTTCGCAATAAAAGAAATTCTTTTAATAAATTTTAACATTTTATCGCTATACAGTCATATTATTTTTTCTTTTTCGTTGACCTAATCCATTCAGATTGCAGTTCACGTAACATCTGTGGTGTTAAGAGTCCCTCCGCTATTAATCTTTCAGTCAATTTGCCTTTACCTACAGTACGTTTGCCAGGTCCTTTAAAATCTAAAAAATGATCCATATAATTTAGCACTCAGGCATCACGAATGTATAATTATTTTTTATAAACAGCAATTTACCTCTGTAAAAGTTTTGTTTTTGTGTCTGCAACTCAAAACTATCGGGCTCTCCACCTAAATAATAGAAAAAGACTTGTATGTTAAACACTTCTCAACTAGTATTATAAAAATCGATCTTAATAAAATATATAAGATAAAATTTACACACGCACACACATACGTAATATACGTATATTTCTATTAAACTAACAGAAATTAAAGTAGCGGAAGATCACAAATTATATTGTAAATATTTCGTTTCAAAAAAATCACATTTACCTGCATCTGAATTCAACAACAAAGTCGTTAATCTAACTATTCCCGCCTCGATGAGTGCATCAAGTTCCTTCTGTATGTCACGGACCATTTCAGCATCCGGGAACAGGTCCATAAAACGGTAACTACAGAATACAAGATAATAAAATGAATATAAGAACGCGAAAAAAAAGACACATAATTAAGTTACAATCTCATTATACCTTAACCAGAGGTAAAGATCCAATACATCAAAGACGCCTTCCAGATGGACGAGATCGATGATAGTTCTCGGCATTTGAAAGGGCCATCCGATATGTTGGCATAACCAGTTGAATGTTATCGCATCGTTTTTACTGTATTGACGTGCAAACTGAAAAAAATGCACAATTATGTACATCACAAGAAAGCGTAAAAATAAAAATTATATTCTAAAAATACAGCAGATTTTATATTAACCCCGGGAGCTCTTTCTTCGTAATAATACTTTAATCAATTTTAAGAGTCAGTAGTAATATAATACTTGCCTTCAAGAACATGGTGCACACATATGGCGATTTCCGATTAATCGGCGCGCAACAGAATACGTATCTCGCACGGAGTGGCAGTAAAACGTGCTGTATCATGTCGGCTAGGAACTTAAAGTCGTCTATATTGCACATGAAGTAAAGAGAATCGTCGACTGTGCACAACGACACAAAAATATCCTTAAAAAAATGGATGAGGCGTTATGAGTGGCATCATTTACGATTACAATTAATTTCATTCCTGTTTTCACGCGGTACTCACCATAAGATTCGACAATGACGAGTTTGGCAAATGATAAGCATACAGCTCAATTTGATCCGCCGTTGGATGGAGACCAGCTTGTGTTATTGTCTCTGGCGTTTGACTCAATAAATTTTTCAAAGTCGGGAGATCCTCCCGTTTAAACGTCGTTACGTAGCCCTGCGAAGCAAAAGTGTATTTTAATATTTTACACTTTTCTCTGCATCGTCTTTTTTGTAGCGTTAATAGAGATAAATTGGATTATGCCTACTGTTTCCCAAACTGTGCCGTAACGTCCAGCACGACCCGCTATTTGCAGAGCCGCTGACACAGATATAACGTCCATTTCCTTTTCACCTTTTTCGTTGGACGTTGGCTGAATCAACGAATAAAATATAATTCTCCGGATATGCCTATAACAATGCGTGGACTCGTCAATCGTTTTCAATGATACACATTTCATCACTTAAAACTTCAGAATATAAACGTACAGTTTCAGATTTAACACATAAACATGCATAAAACTTACAAATTCAAACCCATTCCAATGGCATTGGTCGCTACCAAGATTTTACAAGAATTGTTAGGATCATTAAATTTTGCAGCTTGCGCCAGCTTGGTACCTGGTGGTAAACTGCCATATATTACAGCCACTTCTTTTCCTCTGCTCTCGAGAGAACGTGACACAGTATATATATCGTTTTTGTTAAAGCAAACTATGCAATCTCCCGGCATAACGTTATTCAACGTTTCGACAGCTTGATTTTCTATCTCCAGGTCCGTCAATCGCTTATATCTACGAACTTCCACGTTTTCGCCCGTTGAAACACATATGGCTTTTACCTGTATATACATACAACTTTTGGTTAATAGACATCAATTAATGGTACATAATTTTTAAATATACAATATAATGATAAATATAATGATAAATATACAATATAATGATAAAAAGCCTACTAATTCTATAGCAGCAGCTTCGCCGCATAAATGTATCTCATCCGCGGGAATTCCCAGAAGGGCTCTCGTCCACGCCCAGCCTCTATTAAGATCACGCATTAATTGAATTTCGTCAATTACAGCTACTTCATCTGCAATAAATTATGATCGTATTGGCAACTTTTTTATGTGTTGAAGATGCCAGAATAATAACACTTACAATTGTTTTGTAGATTCACCATTTCTACGGAACAAGATAGATGATCCGCTGCGTTATTGTGACCCTTGACATACTTTCGTTCTTCTCCAGTTAACAAATCACATGGTGTTCCCTAAATTAAATGTTACATATGTTATTGCCTTTATCTTATCTTTGGCAAATATAACTGAAGTAAATATATAATACCAACCCTTTCGTTGCATTTATGAAATACTTCCGCAACAAGTAACTTTAGCGGTGCACAATACACCCCACTTTTTGCGGTAATAAGTCTTTCTAGAGCATGGTAAGTCTTCCCACTGTTTGTTGGTCCAGCGTGAAAAATTATTTTTCTACTTTTTGATCTTGCTAAAGGATACCTAAAGAGCAATAGTCAAGTTTTATCACTTTGTGAAAATTTTATGTTCTTCTTGATATATTAAAATATACACATATATATTAAACTAAAATAAAATAGTGATTGCATAATAAGGTAGTAAATTTCGATAACTTTAATATTATATAAATCTACGTTTTCTTACCAGGAAGCAGGATTTCGTAGATCGCTAATCTTTTTGAGATCGTCCAAACAATCAATATGCGGAAATATTTGCTTGGCATGACTTATGAAGTACGGAAAAATATCGGCGACATTTCCAGCACCCTGCAGGATATCGCTCAGGACTACATAAAGATCTACGGGTAATGGTTCCGTTCCTAAACAGTACTGTTTAAAGTTTGTGAAAGCCTGCCCTTGGAGATAGTCTGAAATCAATGCCGTAGTCAGAAACCATGATCAGTGCGTGTATATTTGATTATTGATACTCACGATCCAATCCGTATTGCTGAGCTAATTCCTTGATTTCCGTCTTCTGCGAGAAGGCATTCAATATCTTTAAGAGATCCGTCTTCTTCAACGAAGACCCAGTCAATTCAGCGCCAACGTTTATGTCATCTGGATTCGGTTTGATGGGCACAGGATGGAACAGAGATTCCGGTACGTTTGTATTGCTGTCGTTTGTATCGCTTTTCTTGCCTCTGCATGGTTGGACGTAACACGTACCAAGTGCCGTTGACCTGGCGACAAATGATGAGGTAGATAAATTAGGAATCATAGTAGGGTATTCGCAATACAGCTTGTTGTTGCATTATGCAATCCATTGGAAAGGTAATTCGCAGAAAGGAGATAAGAGAGAGATACGATCGAAATATAGAAATACTCTGTAAAGTTTATAAATGTCTAATAATAAACAACTTTAAGCTATATATATAAAATGTACCTGCGTGTTAATGCCACCGCCAATAAGGCGCCTCTTCGTATCAGCTGCTCCATCGTAGCACACTTTACAAATATCATCTTTCGAACAAAATCTTGCTGTCAAAACATCCTAAGGCACCCAGGAGTACACGGCTCGCGGCCTAACGGACATAATACACGCACATCAGACACGTGGGATCCGACAGTCGTTGCAGACGCTGCAGTCTCGCCGCCATTGCGCATGCGCGACCAACCATCGCGAGCGCGAAAATTTCATTCGCGATCCAAGTGCATCGTGAATGGTTTCGGATGATTATGGATTATAATTGACGTGAACACCGATATTCTGTCACAATACTCCACTCTAATTTGATAACAAGCTGCTAGCATTTCGCCAGTAACGTCTGTAAATAATTAACGTTGAAACGCGCAAAACGAGACATGTAGACGTATTGCATTACCATCAGAAATTTTCATACGTACAGATATTGAAATATTCCGAAAATTTTTATCCAATTATTTCTGAAAAATCCAATTATATATCTGAGAAATTTAACATATTTTTTTCAGAAATTTTTATAAATTTAAAACATGAGAAATTTTTTGAAAATTTTTGAGAAAATATGAAAATTTTTTTTACCAGGGTATGTACATAACTTATATCTATTCACTTGTTTCTTCATGTTTAGGAATGACGCACAACGCTGCACGAGGATCAGAGGGTTAAATTTCCCATCGAATAAATAAGCAATAAAAAGCAATTATGTGCAGTCTTTCTTGACAACGCAATGTGTAAGCGACGCTACGCTAAGATATACACGACGAGTTTATCGTAATCTGATGCTAACGGAAGATATCGTTCGATAGAGATGACAAAGACCTCATTTCTGCAAATGTGTTCACGCAGTTTGTATCTCCCGTAAATTTCGCAAGTTGGAATGCGCCGCGCGAGACGGGAGTCCGACGAGATCGGAGATCCAGCGGCGTCTTGGCGCTTCGTTGGCACAAGTTCTCCTCGACTACAGTCACCAGGACGCGGTGAAGCTGTTGGACTCGTTACCCCTTACCAAACTTTCACAGCAATCATGTTGCGCCACGCAGGACGGTCAATTAAAGGCGGACGCGATGGGAATGTGGACAAAAGAACATGAAGTTCTTAAGTCACACTTGCACAGCGACATTCTAGGTAATACCTCAATAAATCTAAATAAGTCGAAATCGGATGGATTAGGCATGTTTTGTACATATGCTTGTTGATGTTTTATTATGTTTAAATTCTTGGTTCAGCGTTGGGCGAAGGTGAGCTGAAGAAATTTCAGGCGGAGATTGAAGCGGCGACACAGAGGAAGCTGAGGGATGAGTTTGCGGAAGAACGTCATATGCTCGAGGCTGAAAAGAGATTTGCTGTTAGACGCAACGCAGATGAAATTCATGCGAGATACGAAGAGTATTTCAGGTTTGCACAGCAAGAGTTGGAGGAAAAGTTGCAGGTAGACATAAAACAGCATACACATAATTGAACACAGCAAGGGACAATTAATTATTTTATAATATATTTGTGCAACAGGTTGAGTTGAGGGATACAGATGAGAAACGCAACAAGGAACTGCAAAAGGCCATCGTAAAAGCGCGAATAGATACAACGCACGACGTGTTAAGAAAAATACGGCCTCAAATAAACTTGATCGTTACGTCTCTCTACAATGAGTTTGAGCAAATTCATCGCGCGCAAAGAGAAAAGATGATTGCTGATTTTAATAAGATCATGAGGTATCTAGATACTGTAGAAATATAACAAAAGGTTCTCGACGCGCGGCAAAATATCCTAATATATGTAAAATATATGAAATTGGTTTTTATCTACGAAGGAAACAGTATCTCAAACAGGATGTAAGAATCAGAGAAATTGAGAAGAAGAAAATGGAAGAGTTGCATGTCCAACGTCGTGAACTCGAGATACAAAATGTAATGAATATTATTTATATTTTTTGCATGGAAAAATTACGTTGCAGCTCGCAACTGCAAGCGGTACAGAAACATTTTGAGGTAAATATATTATCTGTTTCGAATGGAAATTTGAAATGTATCTGTACTTACGTATCTTTCTTTTCATCAAAACGATTAGATGAAATGTTAAAAGAGAAGTTGAAAGATATATCTTATCTAACATATCTTATCTTACTTTATGATAAATGCATTTTTTATAAAATGCCCTGATGGAAATATTTTACTGAAAATATGAATAAAATTTTACTGAAATTTTCTCTCAATTGATCCCATTTCATTGTTATTCTATCAATATTTCAGTCATCAAAAATTCAGTTTTTTCAGTTAAATTTAGTAAATTTTATGATACCTAACAAAAGAAATTTTATTACATTTTAATAGTATAATTTAACTTTTTCCTTATATTTCACAGTATTACATTACATTTTATAAGAAAAATTATTATTTATTTCGAAATATATCCAGTAATTTTTCAATAACTTTTATTTCACTTTTCATCGATTTCATAATATTTTCAGCGGGTGGCTCTAATGGAAATATTTTGCTGAAAGTACTATGAAATCGATGAAAAGTGAAATAAGAAATATTGAAAAATTATTAAATATATTTCAAAATAAATAACTTTCTTTATGAAATGTAATGTAATACTATGAAATATAAGAAAAGTTAAATTATATACTATTAAAAAACAATAACAAAATTTCTTTTATGTTGGGTATCATGAAACTTATGGAATAATAGTGAAATGAGGTCAATGGAGGGAGAATTTCAGTAAAATATTTCTGTCAGGGTGCTATTTAAAATAAATTTAAATAATATAATATAATTGTAATATATATATATATATATTTTATATATATATATATATATATATATATATATATATATATATATATAT